TATATCATCGTAATATCGCGCTATAGCGGACATAGCGGAGCGCTAAAAGGGGTCACAATGCGATCGCAATAACGGCGCTATAACGCCGCTATCGAATCGTTATCGACGACATGGGCACCCACCCTACATATAAATAAAAAAATCCAAAATATTTTACAAACTGATGACGAAATCTTTGTTGGAGTTTCAATAAACAAATGAAATTACTTATGTTATTAAGTGTTGCAAGATTGGTATTTTCATGTTGTTTAGTTATCTTTTTTTCTCTTTCTTTCTTGTTATCTTTTGTCACTACTTTGTATGCAGTATATACTCAAATGCTTACTTGGAAAATTTATATGAATTTTTCCCATTTTATAATAGTGACACATATCTTTCTTGTCTTCTCATGATTTCTATATAAATGAAGTTTGCTGGTCAATTCAACTACTTCCACAAAACTCACAAAGGAAAGTAGTGAGGTACAGGTAAATGTAAACGCTCTCTTTTAGAAATAGTTCTGCTACTACATCTTTTATCCTTAAAAAAGGCTTCAGAGTTATTTAAATTTTAAAACTTCAAGTGCATTTGAAGTTTCATGTACACAGAAAATTCTAATCAGTCACCTTTAACATGCAATGTCTGGAAAGTTTTGTATACAAAGATGGCAATTAATGTAGTATTTAGAACTTTATTTCGATATAATAATTCTGGTATTCATAGTGCAAAACATCTTCGCGAATGTTAATGAGTGTGTTTTTATATCAATCTATTTTTGCGAGTGACGAGAGAGATAGAGATTTTTTTAAATATTTTGCTATCGTCAACACATTTTTAGAATGTCATCTGTTGATTGGAATGAAAGTAATGTCGAACGTGTCATTCAAGGTTTCAATCCATCAAGCTTTTTTGGGCTTTCATCTTATATGTTTGACAAGAAAGGCGATCTTCGATATTGTAACGAAGAACCGTTGAAGTTAACGCGTGGTAAATGGGATTATTACACCCCATTTAAAGGTTGGATACGTTATGGTTTGAATATCGATAAATTTGGCTCTTGTGGTTCACAGTGGCTTGCTTGTGACGGTGCTGCTGGTGAATGGGCTGTTGGGTTCCATGGATTTCGTCGTGATGTATTGAATTCATTGAAACACATAGCCACTGAAGGTTTCAAAGTTTTTCAAGGTAGCAATAGTGAATGGGGTACAACCTCAAAGGATGTTGGCCCGAATGCATCTTTATTTTCTGAAAAAACATGCGGAAAAGGTATATTTTTAACACCAAAGATGAAACATATGACAGATAATGTTGAGAATTGTCGATTAATCAAACCGATCCAGTACAATAAACACTACTATATAGAAGTTGCTTTACAATGTCGAATTAATCCGAAAAAAATTCGACTACCAGAATGCTCCCAAAACGAATATTATATTGTGAACGATCCGGTGAATGTTCGCCCCTATGGACTTGTTATTCATTTTTTGACAGAGACCGAAGCGAAAGCTATTTTAGATGGTAACAATTTTAATTTAGCGCCGGCTATTCCATTTGTCTAATAGGACATGAGTTTCTTAGAACAGTTAATAGAACTTTTTAGGGTGTAAATATTTCTTACTGCCAAATCACTTTTTTTGCAAATAAAAGTTCATGTAATTCTTTTGTAATTCAGTTGAATAAGGTTGATTTTGTTGTCTTTATATTGAAAATATCACAAATTCCGCAATAAGCACTCATGGTAGAGGTAAATCATTTGTGAAAGTGAAAACTTTTGAGAATCGATTCCGTTGTATTAAAATGTTTTTCTAATCGAGGCCATAAAATAGTTGAAAAGATCTCTTGCTTAACTTACTGTGGTTGCAGTGAAAAGGCATAAGAGTGGGCTAGTATGAGAGCCTACTCTTCCGATTCAGCCTCACTCTATGCCGCAACGAAGAATACTAAAGGCAGTATGAATATATATACAGGGTGGTCCAAAAGTAAAGAAACAGAGAAAAACTTGAATATCTCCATTATGGCTCGAGTAAACGAGCTGATGTTTTTGTCCATGATGGAGGCATGTTCAAGCTTTATATCCATAAAGACATGCCTAGAGAAGCTCTTTGTTAAGGATCACTTAGTGATCTCAACAAAAAAAATTACTTTTTCACAGATAGGAAACCAACAATATACTTAACAAAGCGGCTCTCTAAGCATGTCTTTATGAATATAAAGTTTGAATATGCCTCTATCATTGACAAAAATATCAGTTCGGTTACTCGAGCCATAATGGAGATATTCAATTTTTTTTCGGCTTTCTTACTTTTCGGTCACCCGGTATATCATTAGTAGTAGCAGTTCATATACTTCGAAAAGATATGTTGCTTCATTGATGCACGAAAACATATTGAGTGTGGACAATGTAACAGCATCATGTTAAGTGACGATTCGTAGTCATGTAAATCAAATGAAAATAGATCGACCAATCTGTTGACAAAGAAGATAACTTCAATTTGCTATTCTCAATTCTTGCTTTTTAGCAATCGATCAAGTCGAAAATAAAGAAATAATAAAATAATAATAATAAAATGTGCTTGAATAGAGATAATTTAAAAGAAATGCAGAATTAAATTCGTCGACGTGTTTCGTGTTATTTATTAAAATATTGAAACACTCATCAGGAATCTGCATTATAAATAAAGGCATAAAAGCAAAAAAATCAAAGACAATGATAAAAAATTAGAAAAATCAAAAACCAAAACCAAGGATTTGGATAAAGAAGGAGGCTTAAATCGCGACGGTGTGGGTGGGTGTGGGAGTAGCGAATACGGACACCAATATCCTCACATCCACACACACCACATGTCTAAACATGTGTTAACTGTTCAAATCGACATTGATGCCAGATCAATTTTGACAAAAAAAAACGCTCTGCCTAGATGTATACACGCCACAACTCGAATGATTAGTTTTTCTCTCAAGTAAACATCATCCAATGTATTTAGCACATATTTTTAATGAAAATTGTAACGTTATCTCAACAATTCATTAAAAAAATAATCGAATAGATGAACTTATTTGAAGATGTTACTTTTCCGACAGGTACTCTGTCGTTGCAACGATTACGAGTTTTAATATTCATCACCAACCAATGAGACTTGAAAGAAATCTAGCTTCATTCAAATACTTATAAAGCATTTGATCACATCAACAGATACAACTGAGGCGATCGAACAAACTAATTTAGATGCCACATAGTTCAAACCCAGCATGTGAAAAGACACGAGACATTTTGAGTTTTGCATTACAAATCATCAAAATATATTGTAGACGATCTGATAGGTCACTCAAACTTTATCATGATAGTTATAATCAGTTAGATAAAATAGTCGATATATTTTACTGAGTAAAAATCATTTGAAAAGATTCAAAAAATATCAAGAGTCATTTGCCATCGACTTAAAAAAAGCAAACATAATAAATTTCTTGTAAAAAGTTACTTAATGTTCTATTTGATCAATATCGGATCACGGCATATCAATTCTTAAGAGTGTCATCGATTTATTATGACATCGTTGACAATAAAATGGAAAGTGCAGTGTCATTCCTCTTACAATTTCGAGGTCGCCACATAAAAACAGTTACTTTTCGTCGAAGAAGTCAGTCTCTCTCCGAAGTATACTTCATACGATCATCAATGTGTTAGAGAATACTTGAAATATTTGTCAATAAACTGTTACTCACTTGTGACTTCACAACTCTGCAGTTAAAGAACATAATGATTTCTGTCAGGCAATAAATCATCAAGTCATAATCTTCTCTAGCTGTAATAGTCAAATAAATAGACAAGAAAGATAACATCTTGAATACGTGTAAATCATGTGCAAAACCGTTACCTATATTAATTTCTCTATACTACTTGTTATTTCGATAATTCAAATAATATTAGCCTACGTCTATAGTGGCAAATGTCCGGATGCACCTGATCTACCATTGGTACTCATTATTACTGGTACATTGGGCCTTCTTTTAACCGATACAGCACTAATCATCCTCTGTTTTGATTCATCCAATGGACGAAGTAATTGGAATTTATTGGCAATGAGTATAATATTCATATATTTGATTATTTCTCGTGTGATAAAGAGTGTTATGTTATTTCGACTCGCCTCGGAACCTCACGATGATGATCATTGTGCACCTGTTTTGTATTGGACCTCGACACTACTCATTGTATTTTCGTATGCTGCTATTGTAATTACAGGAACGACATTGGTCTATCTTATTGTAATGAGAAGAAACCAAAACAAACCGCTATTAGTTGATGCAAGAGTTACTGGTGTAACTATGACTGAAGTGTGATACGACGAATTTTCTTCATATTTACATTGTAATAAACTGTACAAACTCTGCACTTTCACCAAGGTCTTACCGTTTACGACTGAAGCTCACCCACATCTTTGACTTTATGACAAAACTGATGATTTATTACGATATATCACACAGCACTCGTACGCTGTAACACGATAGTTTTTTTAGTTTTTTTTCTTCTGACAGTTCAAAAGATTGTGTTAATAAAAATGCAAGTGACTCACTCATTGTATTCTCCCAGACAGTCATCGATATTGCTGATTTTCCGTATAAAGTCATGAGCTCTTACACTGTAATCGTTAATTGCACTGGTTTTATTACTAGATGGCATTAACACAGAAAACTCTACTATTTTACACAATACTTAGATAATTGAGATACATTATCAAGGAAAATAAGTAGGAATAGTTGAACATAGGTCATGGATGAGAATGATTATGATATTTTATTTCTGTTTATAGGCACTCAATCTATAATGACACATCTTAATAATTTCCATATCTACGATATAAGAAAAGTAGAAAGAGAATTTAAGTGAATCAAAACAAGATGACAATCACATGCGTCAGTCACTGTTCGAATAAGCCTAGTAAAACATGGGAGATGTGCTTCGAGGACTCGACTAATATTGGAATAATAATTTTGCTTTTTCTGTGTGAAAATGCATACCTTGAAATGGCCACTATTGACTCCTCGGAAATTTCGACAGCATTAAATCTTCTATCTTCACTCATCGGCTCATTGGTACACACTACGAACACACAGAAATTACAAGTATTCTCTGAGCAACAACTTATCGAGATTCTTTGGTCGACTGCTCGACCTACATCGAGTACTTGAAGCTTATCCAATATTTGAGCAATCCATAAGTACACTTTGATCGAAATAAAATTTGGAGTCATTCGACCCTTTTTGAGAAGTAGTCACCAACATTCGAAGCTTCGAAAACTTCGACTTTTGTAACGCAATCTAGTACTGATTAAGTTAAATTGACCTGTAGAAGTTACTTACCATTTTTGCCAGCATGATGTAACTTCAAAAGTTCAGCTCAACTATCAGCCTATATAGGGTTGAAATGAAATAACACCTGTGTAAAAAGTCTTAGTACAAAATCTCTCTCTCTGGTTTTCATCCACTTACAGCTCGCAGAAGAAAATTAAACGTAGTCAGCTAAAATGAGAATTTCGTATTGATTTACATTTTGTTGGTTTTAAGCAAATACCTGAATAAATAAATATGCCATTTGGATGTGCGTGTTGTTGAAACGGCGACTCACACCTACACCATAGCCACACTCAGCTACAGCCATACATACATCCTACACACACCCGCACAGCCATTCACACCCACTACGATTTTTATCTCCCATGAATCTACTTTCAAGCACATTATGATATTTGAAGCATTATTATTGTAAACTCTATATAGCAGCAGAACTCCATTTCAATCATTCAACAGCCAATTGTTTTCTATCAGTAGTCATAGATATTCTATACTCATGCATATGTTCGAAATTAATTTTGTTAGCTGATAATATGGATGATGTTAATGCAATACATAGCCCTGAATAACACTACAAGTTGATAGTCGACTCGACTTTTATTGCAATTTATCAACCAGAAGATTCCACACAAGGTAAAACATTTTATGCTAAAAAAAGTGCAACTAATTATGCACTTAAAATATAAATCACTTGCGATTTTCATCGTCGAGTAGTGCATATATCCGACTGCTATCAGAGTAGTATACATGATATTACCATCTTAAGAGAATCAGGCTTATTAGAATATGTACAAGAAGATTTGAAAATTATTGCTGATAAACAGTACACTGGTGAACAGTATGTCATTGGTCCGCGAAAAAAAAACCTCGTGGTGATGAATTCACAACTGAAGACAAAGATTATAATCGAACTGTTTTGTAGTGCAAGAGCAGCTATTGAAAGTATTAATCAACGTATTAAACAGTATACTATTTTAGGACATACTTAGAGAGGGTCTTATGATGACGTTCGTAATATTACTAAAATTGCACATGTTGTTTGTACTTTAAGTAATCTTAACTTGAATAGACATCCTATTCGTAGTTGCAGATCATAAAACATTATCTATGATTTCTAATCGTTTATTTCTAATAAACGTTTTTCAGTAGTTGTTTCTTGTTGTTTTCGCCAACAAGTAAGATCTACAGTGAATAAGTTCGATAAAATTCATGGTACTAAGAGAGATTAGAAAGACACTTGATTCTATTCGTTTTAGATATGGTAAATAATCGAAATAATGATGAATTCCCAGCACTACATGCGTACTATGATTGATAAAAAAATCACAACATTCTGATGTACTATAGAACCTATATACTAAACACCTAGTTGAGGCATCCAAACCGACTGATAGTCCCCATATTTTTATATTCTTTCTTTCAATTTCTCCATAAATGGAAATAATTTCTCATTGAACTGGAACAATTGCCCACTGCTGATCCACTAGTACGAGTTCCATCTACAGGAGATGCACACAACGGTGAGAGCACTTGCACAGTACGCCTCATTGGAGGCAATGCTACTAGTTACTATTGGAGCGCTGTGATGCTATATACTATTCACGTAGAGAAAGAGAAAGAAACGATGTGACGAGACGCATTGATGTATGATTCATTAGTTTCGGTGAGCTTTTGCGAAGTTCATTGGTGACGAAAATAGTTGATTTTGAAAGTTTCTAACTGACTCAATAATGTCCAAAGGTTTAGCATCACTTCTACGTGGTCATGAGCGGGCCGGCATAGGGGCGAGAGGGGGCAATTGCCCTCCCCCCCTAAAAATTTTTTTTTGGCTGGGACTTAAGAAGAATGCCATGAAAACAAGCGTTTTTAAGCGAAAAAGTGCTTATTGCCCCCCCTGAAAATTATGGTCCGGTCCGCCAATGTACGTGGTTATCAACAAAAACGAATCAGGAGTCGGTAAGTTGTTTCAAAAATCTAGTTGATAGTATCGGACACTAGTAGAGAGGTAATAAGAGAAAATGGTGAGCCACCTTAGATATCTTGACGATAGATAAGCCAACTTTCGACGGTGGGTTAAAACAGTGCAGGAAAAATAGCGCACACAACTTGTCCGAAACTATTAATCGTGAAAAATTAGTCCCATAATTGCACTTTTTTTGATCAAATCATTTTTATTATTTTGTTTATTGAAATGTCATAATGATCGATGATTTCTTGGATTAATTTATATTTATAAATGAATAATCGACTGTGACCGATTTTTTGGAAGATATGCATAGCCATGTCGTTCGAACCAACCGAAAACCGGCGGTTCTTTCTCAGAACTGCCACACCCTCAAATCAGCTGTTGGTGTCGATCTGAATAAAGAGAAGAATAGTTTTATTTTATAAATTTATATTTACATTTAAATCAGCTGTTGGACGTAATTTAAATAAAAGAAGAATTCTTTTTTTCGAACATAACTTACCAAAAAACCATCGGTTTCGATTTCAGCTGTCGGTTAACTATAGTCGTCTGTCGGTTAGAATTTGAACCATCTGTAAACCGCAGTTAGTCGTCAATTAGGATTTTAACCGTCGGTTTTCATAAAAAAAGACGACGTGGTAGTCTCCGCAAAAATAAATTTACCGAAATTTAGTGTGTTTCAAAAGCACAAATCATTGCTAGCAACAGTTTTGTTTACACTTTGAATCCTCTTCAATGATCACTTCTTCGAAATACTTTTTCACAACTTTGTCCGCTTGTTTCATCCTTCACACGCTACATTATGATGTTATCCAATCAATTATGAAACTTCTACGATTCATTACTTCCTATGGATTATAACGACACGCTTTTACCGAGTGCTTTTATTAGAATAGCTCAAGAATCAGACGAGCTGAACAAAATTCTTTTTGAAGTAACTATCATGCGGAACTGTACAGTAATACACGAACATCTTCTGAGACACATTTTCACAAGCATTGATCATTCCGAACCAATCTCAAATGCTCTCATGAAATTAACTGCTAGCGATAGACGCGTTATGAAGAGTAATTTTAAATGTGTCCAAATTAGATATGTAATGGCGGATGAAATCTCGATCCATTCATGAACCATCTTTTTCCATTATCAAGAAAACAACAAACATAATATAAACACTAGTTGATAATGAGATATCATTAAAAAATGTTTGTTTCTGGATATGAATTTCTCTTTGAACACAAGAAGATCTTAGAATAGTCCATTACAAAAGTTATTCAGAGAGATATTTATATTTGCTCTTATTATGTTCTGCTATAGAAGAGATGTGTCTACTTTTTAATATTCTTTGGGCTTTATAACTTCATTTACATTGATCATAATTTTTTCAGTCTACTCTTTTGTCTTGTGGCCAATATGTAAATTCAAATTTAATTTTCTTTATCATTCTGATAAAATGAAAGAAAATATCAGTAGCTTATCATGAGCGAAGACATTTCATATAAACGTAATCTTCCGAATTAGCATCAAGAGAAACTGATGAACAAATACTTTCCATTCATCATTATGCATTCCCCATGTCAACTAAGCGTACTTTTGAAAAAACATAAATATTGGCCAGATGTCCCCTCTTTTTCTCACAAACTGAATTGTAGGTTTCTGCCAAAGCCCATTAGAGTTTATTCGTTTCTTCCTCATAGACCGTCAAGTCTCTGGTACCGATAGCGATGATGACGATGAAATAGAAAGCTCAACAACTATCAGAGAAACTCGACGATCCCCACCTATAATCACTTGGAAACTTATGCGGCCATTGAGTGAAACACAACACGCGTTATCGGACTCACCATTTGCCAATCTTCCAACTGAAATCCTCATTCAAATATTTCGATTGCTCTCTGTCCACAATTTGGAAAATATTTCATTGGTTTGCCGTTACTTCAAAGTGATCGCTGACCAAGATGACATTTGGAGATCGAAATGCAATCGTAAGTAACGACTGTTTTGCTTTTGTTTGCCAATATGCGTCTCATCACTATAGCCTCGAACGAAGTACAATCGAAATCTTTCAAACAAATCTACATGAATTGGATCTATAGGAAATACTTGCGCAGTTGAGAATTGAAAAAAGTGAATGATAGATACAGAAAAACAACGAAACATATTTCTTGCCTACTTAATGTATGCCGTTGTTCATCTGAATATTTTCTTCGAGCAAAGGATAAAATGTATGTCTTACCCGTCTCTGGCTTTGTTGAACATCCTAATTCATCGTTGGATATGTAAGTTCAAACTTCTCTTTTCCCTATATAATACTAGTTGTTTGCTTCTGAATTAATAGGACCATTGAATTATCCGTAAATATCGATAGAACAGTTATTGCGATGATTGCGTTCTTGGAAAAGATAAATGGATTTGTAACTAATTGGCGGCGATCAACAGTCGCCGAACAAATGATCATGAGATACTATCGATTCATGCAATTGAAAGCTTCATATCCCAACGAACGTCTTGTTCCAACATTGGACATTGAAATCGTCTGGCAAACTCATTTGTTACGTCCAGACATGTATCGAGACGATTGTCTTCGATTATTTCGTCGTGTCATCGATCATTCGTTATTAATAGATAATATCGGAGAAAGCCTCAAAGAACAAGCTTTTGCCAACACCTGTCGATTGAATGAAGAACGTTTTGGAGAACAATATTATCCTTTACTAGTGAACAAAGAGGAAAATAAAGCTTGGTCGCCATATCGACATTCATTATTAAGTTATATTGAGTGTCCTATTCCGGCATATTCCTATTGGGATGATACATGGTTCAGATTTGCATCTGAACTACCGAACAACTACGAAAATCCATTTTCATTCGTCAAAGCAAATATTATTCTCGATAGCTATTGGTTTGAATTGTACCGCACTGATATGTATGGAGTGGATCTGAAAATCATGGCATATGATTCTCAAGTACAGCAAATCGCTCTTCGCTCGGCAATGAAACGACTGAGAAAATCTTACGAACGGTTTTTATACATGGTAGCCAAATATTTAACAATGAATGGAAATAATTTTATACATCCGACATATGCCGCAGGAATCCAAATTTTATTGAAAAGACTACTTTTAATTGATTTCCATTTTACAGATCGACATTGCATGACATTCTCATATGCAAGAACCATTGAAATATGCAGACGATTGTAATCGTCTCATTGGATTTGTCATGGATCATGTTGCCTGGCCATCGACTAATACAGCAAGTCAAATTACAGAATCATATGAGAAGATAAATAAAATTTGGAAAGCAGAATTCAATCGGAACATGGAAACAGATCATCTTGAGTGAATTAATAAGGACAACTCTGATCATAATTTAACACAACTTCGTCTTCATGAGAACAATAGTAGGGTATTGCACAAGTACAACTTTCTGTACCCATACCCATATTTTTTCTATCTATATCTTACTCATATGCTACCCGTACTCATTTTCACAATTCACAAGATGAGTTCACTATTTTTTTATTTAGCGTGAATAAGTAAGAACTAAATAAAAATATATACTCCACTATCCAGTAGCATCTCTTGGTTTATCGAAAAATCTATATTCACCACTGTCTATGTTTTTCTTAATTAATCCTTGCAGGCCCACCGCACTGTATAAAGTACCGTTTTTTTCGAGTTTCTTGATTTTTGAATAACTTGTGAATGGAAGAGGATATCAAGATGCGGTTTCTTCAATGACATAGAAGAGACTTCGGTACACACATATATATAAGAGTTATAAACTTAATGAGGTTATTGAGGTAGCAACCCTAATAGGTTTTTGAAATACTGCCCCTATTATAAAAGGGAAGAAGGCGGATAATGCCCTTTTAAGGAATCAAATTAAGAATGTCTCCTAATGATATTACAAAGATTGATTTTGCAACAGCTTTCAATCGGATTTTGATCCATACCCATACCTACCCTAGGGGGATGAGTAAAATATTTCTTTCGTCACCCCCCCCCCCTCCCCGTGGCCCATATTAAATATAAAATTTCCAAGAAATTTCATCCATTGGCTGAGCCATGGCCCTGAAAGCATCAAAAAATGTTCGTGAGGATTCGATTGTGGTTGGTGAAAATTATGAAGGATTAAGCTATGATTTCTCGGATTAGTTACACGGTTATTGTTTTTCAAAGTATTCGGAAACGGTAATAACGGATTACGAGAAAATGATGGTTGATCATTTGGACGACGATAATTGCAATTGGTCGATGAAGATGAAATCCCAACAGATCTTGATGATGATGATGATATGGTATTGAATGGAGAACTGGTTATGTGACAACGTGTCAAATAAGAATAGCAAGCATGATACATTATATAGCAAGACGTATTAACAAGATTAAATTATAGACAAATAGAGAAGCAAATCATATATTGTGTCATTGTATACGTGGTATATAGAAATGACGTAAGACATTTATATAATTGTATGAAGAGTGTTTAAGAAAGAAATAATTAGATAATTAATAAAATGATCTCGTCATAGGAATGTGATGAAAAAAATTAATCAAGGAGAATACGCCGGAGATCACCAACATATATCTGCAATTGTATATGTATTGTTTCATCTTCAACAATGTATATAGGATGTTGGACTTGGACAATAATTTTCGGTAAAGCGGAAAATTTTGGATTCAAGTTTCCTTTTAATCCATATATACGGGTAAGTACTTTGTCACCAATAAGATATTGTGGATCAAATTGATTTTGATCGTACCAATTCTTATTCATCTGTTGTTGAATAACAAGTAACGCTCGTTCGTGTGACTTGCTTGACCCTCGACTGAATATTCGATTCTTTCGGTATTATATACTGCTCTGCACTCTTCAAAAAAGCTATTATTTGACGTTTCAAAACGGATGTGTATGTATGCTGATATTAGCGTCAGTCTCGTTGTGCACAATGGTAGGGGTGTGGGTGTTGTTGAAGGGGTGACTCACATCCACATCCTTATTATTGATATATTTAGTACCAACATGCGATAATATCAAGGAGGGCAAAGAAGATTTTAAAATTTTTAAAGATTTTGGGAGATTTCAAATGATTTTATTTGTAAATTTTACTTTGCTTCTATTTCCGAGACAACAATAATTAAAAGGTTGACTTTCTAGGATAGATTAGATCTAGATATTTAATGTATGTACTGTGACTATTATCCTTTTCTATTCTTGGAGCACATCAGAAAAGAATATTGTTTGAGAGGATCAAAACTTATTTCACATATTTTATTCATAATTCAAATTGTAAAACACATTGGATGAGGTTAGGTTTCGTTCTTAGATCAAGGTTTATTAGAGTACGCAGATTTCATTTAACTGGAATTGCTCGAAATCGCCCAAAATCTTTAAAAAAATTAAACTCTTTAAAATCTATTTTATATCCGCTGATGAAAAGTCATTGTAGCTCAAAGTTATCTATGCAGTTGGTAAGTACTCAATTATCTAAAAGATTTCGGATCAAATAAAATATCTTTGCAGAGATATTAAGAGATTTCAAGATTTCAAAAAAAGATTTTGAGAAATTTTAGAGATTTTTAGATGCCAAAATCTGCTTTTTCGTCCTTAGAAAATATTGAATAAGGCTGAAAATTTCAGCAAGACTCACAAACTACAAACAAAAAAAAATAAATTATATAATCGACGGAGAATAAAAATAATACGCACTCTAGATAGGTTACTTAATGTCTTTTCTTATCTGATATGGTCACAATAACATTACGAGCAGATATTTACAACATGTTGATGTATCAAATTATTGCAGGAAAAATGGCCGCTGATCTTCGAAAGATACTCATATAAGATAAAATAAGGTGCTTGTATTAGCAATGATATTTAGATTGTTATTTTCTATTCTTTGACGCAAAATCGAGGAAGCCGGTATAGGTATGGATTTAGAAAAGACCCACATCGGCATCCTTAATTAGATCGAATCCAATATGTAAGAATAATTTCGTTAAAATCGATCAAAATGAAAGATATTTGCTTATTGATTTGCAGAAAAGTATAAACAAACGATATTCGTATTAGTAATTTCTCAGAGGCAGTCGTCGCTCAACTAGGTCAATGACTGCCCGATGCCGATAGATCCGTTCTATATATTTCAATGATATCACTTAAAAAGAGATCATAATAATATACAGAGTTAGGGTAGATTTTTCGACCTTAGGTATGGCCGTGGAGTCTAACTTTCTGTTTCTGCTTACGTCTTAGTGGTCATTTTAAACAGTTAACTGATGATTTCCTGCGAACACTGTTTATTGCTGATACTGATCTGTTTTTTTTTGCGACATAGGATATCATTCGGTGACCTGATAACTATTCCGTATAAGATAAAAAAAGCAACTTTAGTCTTAAATGATGATACATTTTTGTGATACTTTATCTTTATTTTCTTGTTTGCTCTTAAATTATGAAAAGGAGAATAGAGTGCATGAATATATATTGTTATTTTTTTGTTGCCTCATTGTTGACTAAGCATTACATTTCATTTCAAAGGTTGATAACTAAATTATATAAATGATTAAAACAGAGATGTAATTTCAGTTTTTTTCTAACCAAATTCGTATTGTTTATTGTAAAAAAAAAAAATTATCGCTAAGCGGAACAAGAAAGTTCAGCGACCCATCCCCTCCCTGCCACTTATTTGTTTTTGTCACATCCCGGGATTACAATAACAAAATGTTATTGAAAAGAAAATTTAGTTTTTTAGATTTGAGATAATCAAAAATCAATGTCAAGAGAACGATCAACATCTTTTGATATTCACAATGGAAAAACAAAGTCGAATGTTTTTCAAGTAAGATTTTATTTTAAAAATATTCTGTTTTTTTTTTTTTTACTTTTTAAATTTTTAAATTAGATAGATGTATTACAAAGAAGTACAGATAATAATGCATCAAGTAATACTGAAACAAATTTTGATGATAATAAAATATTACTACCACCAAATCAAACAAATCTTCATCGAAATTTAAAAGAACGACATATGATTATGATTGCATTAGGTGGAGCAATTGGTACTGGATTATTTTTAGCTTCTGGACAAGCATTATCATTATCAGGACCTGGTGGTTCTCTTATATCCTATGGTATTGTTTCAATTATGGTTTATTTTGTTATGACAAGTTTAGGTTTGTTTAAAATTAATTTTCGGTTTTTTTATATTCAGTTATATGACTAGATTAAATAACAAATCTCATGGAAGAGACTCTCTCAATACTTTAATCAATAAAATAAATCGAATAATAGATTAATAAGGATAGTTCAAAAATTTCGACAGCTCTCTGTATAAATTGACTTTTCTTATACAAAATATATACTTTTATAGAACAAGATTAAAGCTGCTATCATCTGAAAAGACAATAGTTTGAATTTCATCGAGATAATGAAAATTTATGGTTCATTTATTAAGTATGACTAAGCATTTTACATCTTACATTATTCAACAAAAACAAAAATGTTATTTCAGATTATTTCGATGTATTTTCTATAATAAAAAGAATCTTTGTCTTTAAATTTAAAAAAAAAACTAATTTTGTATTTAAGAAAAACAATCAATATCTATTAGTATTACCGAAATAATCTTTAGAGAAAAATAAAATAATCGAATTTATTTTGAAAAAAAGTTTTTTAATAAAACCAACATATTACGAAGTCTTAGGAGAACATGTCTCCTCAATAATTGTTCTTTTAGAATTGACTAGAGAAAATCATAATTAATCAATTAGAATAACAATTTAATGCATTTTGTAACAACGTATTGACATTTTTTTTTTAATTTTCACTTAAACTCCTTTAAATAAAAGTGAAACATTAATGAAAGACAAAAGTGGTGGCTTCAAACAATTTATCAAATTTTTCATGTTTGTATTTTTACAAAAACAGACTTGATTAAATAGAAAACTATTTTTCTTTGTAGAAATAACATATTTGATTTATTTGAATAGTTTTTCTCAAAAATAAACAAGTGAAAGGGACAAAAAAATGGATTTATAAAAAGGATAAAATTTTGCTATTAACTGACTGCTATTGATCAGTTTCACTCATATCTAACTGTCACTAATAGAAGCAAACATATTTAGAAACAAGTTTCTTCTATAGATATCTATTTTGTCTTGCGAATAAACAGATAGTCAATATATTGTTCGAAAAA